CTCTCTCTCTCGTCTCTCTCTCTCTCTCTCTCTCTCTCTCTTCTCTCTCTCTCTCTCTCTCCTCTCTCTCTCTCTCTCTCTCTCTCTCTCTCTCTCTCTCTCTCTCTCTCTCTCTCTATCTATCTATCTATCTCTCGCTTGCGATCTCTCTCTCTCTCTCTCTATCTATCTCTCGCTTGCGATCTCTCTCTCTCTCTCTCTCTATCTATCTCTCGCTTGCGATCTCTCTCTCGCTCTCTCTCTCTATCTCTCTCTCGCGCGCGCTCTCTCTCTCTCGCTATCTTTTAAAAACCTCCCGAGTCTTTGCGTTCTTTACGAATTCGATTCTGTCGTTTCCATCAATGGCGGAACCATCACCGTCCTCATTCCGAGACAAAGCGGAGCGCCGAGATTTAACTCTTTCCTTTTGCCGCACACTACGCGTTTTCTCGTGTTTTACTGCTTTCCGCAAAGCCTTGCAGATAACGAGCGGCGACAAGTCAACAGTGGAATAACTTCTGCTGTCTGTCGGTGTTCGCAGACCGACTTATCACGGCTAGAAATGAATGCGATCGGTAGCGAACTGTCAGCGATCCATTTCGCGAGGCGGCAGAATGCAGCTCCGTTGTCTTTGACGCGTTTTGAATTAATGTCGCGGTTCGATCACGCGTGTGCAGTGAATGAATCTACTAAGTGTCTTTAACGTCGGCGACGCTGCTATCGTGTGTGTGCTGCGGTGCGCACGGAATCAACGCAAGCCATCGTCTCCATCTCAATCTCGCGTCAGATTACATAATACACTCGGCACGACGACGACGGAGACCTTCTTACGTCCGGCAAGGCGTGCAGTATCGGTGTGAGTGAACACTGGTGTGATTCCCCGCGCGACGTAGATTGCCGCTCACTGGCATCATCGGCCACCGCGCAATGCGGTCTGATGCTTGCTGCCGAAAGGGGAACGAACGACGAGTGTCAGTCTAAGAGTCGCGCTCGTGGCTAAGATCGCGAGGGGCGATAAATGATGAGTGCAGTGTTGCACCGGCGAGGAGAGGCTGCCCTGCGACGCGTGCGCATGACAGGCATTGTGTGCATGTGTGCGCGAATATTCCTCAGTGAACGCTAACACAAGAAGAAGAAGAAGAAGAAGAAGAAGAAGAAGAGAAGGGTTCCTTTTCGTATACAAAGAATGACGTATCAGAGATGATGACGTCCCCTTGACGTCGTCATGGTGTCGCGAAGCGTCGTCGTCGGCGGGAATATGAATAGTGGCGTCTCAGGGCAGGTGCAGTGCAAACGATAATATCTCAGGGTAGTGGCCACGCGAGCGGCGACGTTGCAGGGTAGAGGACATGTGAGGTCTCGGGGTTGAGTGATGACGTTTCAATGCGGAGGGAATGCGATAAGTGATGACGTTTCAAGGTGGAGGGAATGGGATAAGTAATGACGTCGCAAGATGGACGGGATCCGAGCGGTGATGACGTCACAGGATAGAGAGAATAATCCGAGTGATGATGACGTCTCAGGGTAGAGGGAATAATCCGAGTGGTGATGACGTCACAGGATAGAGAGAATAATCCGAGTGGTGATAACACCTCAGTGGCGATGAGTAGACGATGACGATAGCTGTCGTTGTCTACCCGTCATCTTTCTCCGCGTTGTTGTCGTCGCAGCTGCTTCCGCTCTCTGTCGCTGTCTCTGTCTCTGTCGACGCTGCTGCAACGACGACAAATAAAATCAATGCGAATTCCTAACTTCGCATGTGGCAAGAACTGTGTGTGTGTGTGTGTGTGTGTGTGTGTGTGTGTGTGTGTGTGTGTGTGTGTGTGTGTGTGTGTGTGTGTTTAATCAAGGACGGAAATTGAAAGTTTAAGGTAATTCAAAATCAGTTGAAATAAATTCACACACCAGTATTTCCCGCTCCACTATAAGACTAACCTCTATAGAATTTCTAGAAATATTTTCCGCAACCGTTCATATACGTGTAATAACCACAGGCACATGGAGCGTTTCAATAAAATATAATGCTAAATAAATACGAAATCTATTTACTACCAAAGTTTTAATGTTTCTATACTCTCTTTCATCTATTATTGCCGACAGTTTCCTGTAAATGCCGTCCACATGCTCATCTACAACAAACACTGGCTGCCGCCATTGCTGCCGCTGCACACTGACACATAAATATATAGTGTAAATATAACCTATATATTTATGTGTCAGTGTGCAGCGGCAGCAATGGCGGCAGTCGGTGTTTGTTGTAGATGAGCATTTGGACGGCATTTACAGGAAATTGTCGGCAATAATAGGTAGAAAGTAAGTATAGAAACATTAAGACTTTGGTAGTAAATATATTTCGTATTTATTTAGCATTATATTTTATTGAAACGCTCCAAGTGCCTGTGGTAATAACGGCAGACATGAAAGCCACAGCGCGCCAAAACGAATACATTAACACGTCTACTCTTGATTTAGCACTGTGTTTTATTGCTCACCAAACAACTAGCTACTGAATATGAAAAGTGTTATGGAGAAGAGCTTCTTTAGCTATTATTACTGGAGACAAACACTAAAGAAATTTTCGTATTTTTCCACAGAGAAAAAAGTAGCGAATAGCAGTGCGAGTGGATATTTTACATGGGAGTACGTTTTGCACGTTTTCGTTTGACGGTTTGTGTCTGCGTTTATATGATGCTGCTTTTCTAAACTAATTTTCTGCTAATTTTTATTTTATCTTCATTCTCTCGCATGTGCGGATAAGAAGACAGTACTCAGCGATAAGAAGTCGGCTGGTTTCACTCCCCGCACATAATTTATGGTATTCTAGTACTAACTGCTCCGGCCCCACCCGGCTCCTGCGACGGACAAGCCACGGACGGCCGCAGCGCCACCTATCGCCTTGTCAGTACAACCGCAACTCCTCAGCAGTTAATTGATAAGCAATTCCACCGAAATGCACACATCTCTGTTCTCACTAGAAAGCGCATGCAATTTCCCAGGTGCAACACCGCCAGCCCACTACTATACCGTCCTACGACGTGCCAGTGTCGCGTATTATATCCGACATACTATAGGTGGCGCACCGTGCCTATTCTAACAATATATTCGATGATAAGTGGGCAAATAATGTAGAGGTAAATGTAAGCTAATAACATATAACTGCCACCGGTGAGTGCATTGATACGTCGATTAGTTCGACCGCCGCTCGTTAAGTAACGCAATAGCTGTATTTACCGTCCTGTCAGTGAGCACGAATCCTACGATTGCGCTATTTTGCTACGTTAAAAAAACACCGACATAGCTGTCACTGGAGAACCACGAGGACAGGTGTGTTTTCACAGGTTCAGTAAAGTTTTCCTCTTAGCCTTGATCGTGATGAAGAATATTAAATGGAATTCGCGTTGGTATTTAGCCACTGGTATGCGTCACACATACGCGAACAATGTTACAATACCTGCTAGAACGTCGTAGTAATTATAGATATAGTTAATCTATATAGCTATATACTCATGCGCGGAGAGCGTAGGCGTTTACCGTTATCTATAACAGCTCAATCTATGATGATAATTTTGTTAAGCTCTGCAAAGCCATATATACGATTTCAGCAGCCATATAATAATGTTGAACTCATTTACGATTGCCATGCATCGCATCGTTAAGAAAAAATACGATACAAGATCAAGACTTTGTCAATGATATCTACAGAATAAATTGAGTGGGTCGGGAAAAACAATTGGTCAGTTTTAATTAATATAAAATAATGAATCAATCAGTCCGAAATAATGATTCGATCGATATGAAATAGTGAATCTATCTATATGAAATAATGAATCGATCCATGTGAAACAAAAAACAAGTCTATGTAGAATAGTGAATAAATCAATACAAATTAATGAATGAATCAATGTGAAACAGTGATTTAATGGTTATCTGAAATAGTTAATCAATTAATACGGAATAGTGAATCGATCTGTGTGAAACAGTAAAATGATCAGTGTGAAACAGTAAAATGATAAGTGTGAAACAGTGATCGATCAATCAATCAATCAATACGAAACACAGTGAATCGATCTCAATAGGAAGCTGCGCCTTTCGCTCCTCCGCATCCCAGCATCCTCTTAAAGGCGTTACTGAAGTCTCGGTTGAACACCGTATAGATGATAGGATTCAGCGCGCTGTTGCAGTAACCGAGGAAGAAGAAGATGGAGAAGGTGAGCGGTGGCAGGCGGCAGTGGTCGCACAGCGCCTCGGTGACGTAGACGAAGCCAAAAGGCAGCCAGCAGAGGATGAAGGCAGCGATGATGATACCTATGACAATCGTGGCACGACGCTCCCTCGCGCGCGCTATCCGCCGCTTCTGCCGGTCTGCGTTCTTCGTCGGGTCTTTACTCAGATCTTCCGACGAGCCAGTGTTCGCTCGCTTGCGGCTGCTGATCAGCGGCGAGTGCACGATGGCGATACGAGCGAAGAATGCCGGCTTCCGCTTCGGGGATTTCGCGACTGTCGGCAGGGGCACGTACTTGTTTGTCCGCGCATCGTCGTCGCCGACGGGCGGATCCGCAGCGACGACGTCGTTTTTGTCGACTAACCGGGTCGCCTCTTCCGGTACATAGTTCATGACGTTGACGCCGTTTATCTGCGTCAGGGTTTCCGCTTCCGTTTCCGGTTTAGCGACGGGAGCGTCGATGACGTACGCTCGATCAGCGTTCTTACACGGCGGCTTGCCGACAACGGCCTGTTGCTGAGAATTGTTTCGAAACGAGGTGACGGTCGTCGTCTCGGCGGTGCGCATGCGCACGCCCTGCCGCGCGCGCGTCCGCGCCGCGACGTAGACGCGGAAGTAGACGAAGACGATGACGATGACGGGAATGAAGAACGAGCCCATGCTCGAGTAGATGACGTATCCGATGCGTCTGCTCACCTCGCACAAAGGGTAGTTCCCGCTCGCCATCTCATCACGCCAGCCGAGCAGCGGCGGCACGCTGATGACACCAGAGACGATCCAGACTGCCGCTATGAGCACGGCGACGCGCATCGGCGTGCGCTTCTGCACGTACTTAACAGCCTGCGTAATCGACCAGTACCGGTCTAAGCTGATCGCGCACAGACTGAGCGTCGAAGCTGTGCAAAGGAGAACGTCTAAAGCTTTCCATATCTCACACCAGATGACGCTGAAGTACCAGTACCCCATGAGCTCCTGCGCAAGCGTGAAAGGTACGATGAGTCCGCCAATAAACATGTCAGCCATAGCAAGCGACGCCAGGAACCAGTTTTGCACCTGCAAGAATAAATTTGATATATTTTACGGTAATTGAATTTAATTGAATTAGGCTTATCACCAGATGGCAGCAGGAGACCACCTCACGTGACCTCATACAGTTTGACGCACCCGGCTGTTAGATGCGATATGATATGACTACTAGGCACTTAGGATATGACTACTAGGCACTTAAAAATAAAAAATAACCCTAACCCTAACCCTAACCTAACCTAAACCCTAAACATAACCTAAACCATAACCCTAACCCTAAAATTTTTTTTTTATTAAAGTGCCTAGTAGTCATATCATATCGCATCTAACTGCCGGTTGCCAGATTGACGCAGAAAACCATTCTTTTGCCTAAAACCTATAACCTAAAATTGTTGTCGATAAATGGGCCTACCATCAAAATAACTTTACCGCTGAATTGTCAGGAAACCCGACTATCTCATTCCACAGCCGTGTATACCTGTTTCAGACTTTTCTCTCTGGCGATGGCGATAACGACCATGATGTTGCCGACGACCATGAACAGCATCAGCAGCGTGACGAACAGTGCGGTTAGGATGATACGAGACTGACTGAAGCAGCTCGGGTAGAAACTGTCATGGCCGCACGTCAGATTTCCCGCGCTCAGGTTGCCAGTAGGTGGCGCGTCGACCGCGTTGTCCGTCATCGTCGTTTTGCGCGTAAACGGATATGGTGAGTTTCGCACTCCTTCTTCACTCTATATCTAATTGGCCTGCTCTGCTCAGGTGGTAGCCCTGACTCTTATGGGCGGCAACTGACGCAAATCAGTAAAAATTCGGAAATTTGCGCTGGTTGTTGATTTCTTGCGCGCTCTTCCTCTCGAGCGTGCTCTCTCTCTCTCTCTCTCTCTCTCTCTCTCTCTCTCTCTCTCTCTCTCTCTCTCTCTCTCTCTCTCTCTCTCTCTTCTTGTTTTCATGTAACAATATAACGTGTTTTCATATCATTTTCATCATTCAGCCCCCACACGCACATCTGATGCCCTATTGATTTGCTGTAATGCTGAGTTAGCGCGCAGATCGATGCACAATTACACAGCCACCTGGATTTAGGCGCTCCAGTCCTACTTTCTTACTAACCCGCCCGTTTTTTCACCGTAATATATTGCGCTTCTGTCTGTAAAATTGCGAACTTAAACTGTCTGTCGTTTGTACGTTAATTCACTAACACAAAAATAAATAAAAAAACCTGTTCAAAATGTCTTTTTACATTTAAAATTCCTATTTTGAGCTGCACAGAACATAGCGCAACTTTCTCAAAATAAAAGGTCTTTTACTATCAACTGCACAACATATGGATAGCTGATAGATAATCAGCGCTATGCTTCTTATATCTTGCAATGTTCACACTGTGTTGAGCACAAATACATTAATTTTATTCAACTTATTCAATGGAAATGATGAATATGTAACAAAATCGGGCCAAAATTTTTCCACATGGGAAGTAAGATGGTGTAACCCACGATTATCCAATCACGCGAATTCGCTCAACCCGCACTGCGAAATATTGAAGGCTACCTAACTCAACAAACCGAAACCATACGTGAATTCAATTACGAAACGTCTCTACTAACACGTTCGATTCAACGTACCAGGAATGTCAAAATATAGCTTATATTAGTCTATAGTCTATATATCTATATTATATTATATAATATATATATATTAGGAGGACACCCGGCGTTGCCCGGGAAATAAAGCGCTCAGTTGGTGACCTCTTGGTTGAAAGAAAAATACCCAAAAATCGATCTATTTATCTATCTATCTATTTGTGTGTGTGTGTGTGTGTGTGTGTGTGTGTGTGTGTGTGTGTGTGTGTGTGTGTGTGTGTGTGTGCGCGCGGGTGAGTAGACAGGCCTATGCACTAACGTTTGTTTGCGTTCGCCTATGCGTGTGTGTGTACGCATGGGTACATACTATAATCACCCATGTTGCTGGATTATTTAAAAATTTAAGGGCGGCTGTATAGGCGGGAATGAAACGGGAAGCGGGAAAAACTCTTCTTTCTGCTTCTAAAGAAATTAAAAGCTTGTTAGATGTGAAATTATACATACTATGCTACTATATTCGACATGCTGGTGTATGTTTCTTTGTATAATTACGCGTGAATTCCATGTTCTACTAGGTCCGTGATTATTGCGTGAATGTACCATGAAATAGTTCGACATTTGCACGAGTATTTTCACGAATCAATTGCATCATATCCTGTTACTACACCCAGTGTAAGTGGTAACCGATAACACATGATACATTAAACATGTAAATATATCAGTATAGATAAACGATATGAAGTATTAGTTTAAAGAAGCCAAATATTCATATAA